ATTCCTTTGAGATCTATGAAATGAAGATATCCGATCTTAAATCMGATAGAAATTGTGTGTAAATGAATAGTAGAAATTACCTCGTCATAACCTGCGCAGCTTCCGGTGCTACGCAGGCTAGCGGCTTCGTTTCCAACTAGGAAGAATCTAAAACACGACACCTCGAATGCCGGTTGAAATGACCCTTTTGCAATTGGAWCAATAGAGAAGCATTGATTGATCGAAGTTTTATAGTAGAAAATAGGCTGGGTTTTTCTCACTTAGAGCAGAAACCGTGATCAGAAGAATTTAGTTTTTTGTACGACTTTGGKACGGAGCTTGCTGCAAACCAGCCTATGACTGAACGAGTTTGCAAAAAGCTCCGCCAATTGGATCGAAGGAAAGAGYAAAATCAAAACAAACATCGAAAYGGAGAATTCGCGATGCAAGGGTTTTCGCTGTAATTCACCCAGWGGAGTGTTCAGGAGGGGATCGATGCATTAGACGACAAGCAGTCGCTYACACTCCCTCMTTACTCTACTATTAAMATAATTACCAAAGGACATTCCTATTTTTTCTTCCATAAGTGTGCGAGGATCTTCCAATCTTTTAATCAATGGCTACTGGCATCACGTTTGTTTGTCTTGGCAAAACAGTGATGGAGAATACAAATTATACGTCAACGGAACACTTACCTATTTSAAAACAAGAAGCCCTGGCAGAGTCATTGGGAAAGGATCGGTCCTCTTAGGACAAGAGGCAGATAACTACGTCGGAAAATTTGACACATCTCAAAGTTTTCAAGGAAACGTGTCTAATTTGAACATGTGGGACAGAGTTCTTACAGCTCAGGAGGTCATCGATCTTACTCAATCATGTACTAAAGGCGAAGGTAACTTTGTGAAATGGTCAGATCTAACTAAGAACATTTATGGAGAGGTAAAATTAATTTCAATTACTGACTCAGACTGCCTTTAATCAAAAAAGATTATAGCTTGGTGGAAAATTAGACACAAAGATGTGCATTTAACATTTGAAAAAAAATCTCAAAATAAAATATCGGAGCCGACCTAAAATTCACATAAAGAATGTTGTCTTTCTGCCGGTTTAAATTTCTCGATGTGGTTACTTGATTTGATTAATTCCATCTGGAAGGTCGTTCCACAACCTATGGTCTCGGAAGCTAAGGTAAATGATCGCTGGCCTTCACCCTCCCTACCTATCGTGTTTCGATTTCATGGGAACAGYAAACATTTTGACGAGTTTTTTTCAATTACTATTGCTGCATGATGTATGTAAGTTGAACTATTCTGTCTCACGGTTTTCAAAACCTCAAACGTTATCTATCTAATTAAACAAAATAGAGCAAACAGATGTATATTATTGTCTTTTATAGAATAAATTTACTTTGCAGTGCTTTCTGATTGATGCTGCGTAATTGAGCTGGTACCAAATGGACCATCGAGGCTTAATTAAATCAATCGGAATCATCAGTTGGAGTATTGTCTGTGTTAATTAAGATCGATTCGGAAATCTGGAAATGGAAGGTCCTTTTGAGTAGCTATAATTTGTACTTGGTTGCCTCTCATCCTATAGAATATTTGTGACAAAGTCTATAAAACGATAAATGTATTTACTGAGCATGGATTATAGACGTCCCTCTCTTTTAAATAAAGAGGTACGACTCTATAACAATGGCTTTCTCGAACAAATAAATCTCAAACATCCGGTCTGTTTTTGTTTGTTAGATGTTTTTTTTTTTTTCAGAAAAAGGAGATGCCTACGAAATGTTATTTAAAGTTTATTATTATACAAAAATTGTGTTTAAAAGTCATTGATTACTATCTAAGTTAAGCCTGACCCCTCCATCGTCATGACCAAATTTATCTTTTTACATGATTGCTTGTACCAATGTTCTTCGGTTAACTTGTTCAATCAGTATCTTTGCTATTACTGCCATTAGTTAGTCTGCCCTCTGCCTTCATTTGCCTCATTTTGCATCAATGATACACTTTTCACTAGCTTCGCGCCCCNGACATGACATCGACATGGCATCGACATGACATTGACATGGCATCGACATGGCATCGACATGACATCGACAATGTTCAAACAAATTACAACTAGTCCGTCGTTAAAGGCATGAGAAAACAATAAGAACCATCATTTGATGTTGCACCTCGAACAGTTAACATGGCTTTCAGATTCAAAAGGAATTGTCCTGTTTGCCACAAGCCTGTTCTATAGTTTCTAATGTAGTTATTTATAAAAATGATATTTCTTCAGACAGAAAAATACATTACAAGATATAAGGTATATCCAATACTTTATTTAATCCTCATAATAAATCATTAAAATAAGACATCACAATCCATAAAAAACGTAGGTATTTTTTAAAAAAAAGGTATTTTATATGAAGTGAAAGATTCTATATATCAGTTTACATTTGTTTTTTCGATTCTGCAAAAATGTATACAATCAAAGATTGCTAAAAATTATCAAAGTTTGTGGAATGTTGACTATAAATACAAGATTAAATATCTAATGGAACAGTTGAAATGCCATCCCCTAAAACCTTTCTTTTGGGATAAAAATAAGAAAATCCATTTCTAACTTGCTTATAAGTTAACATTTGATGGTTGACACAACGAAAACCCTTGTTAATACCTGAAGCACTTTKTTTCGTGCGAAGAACATTTAAGTATTTATCTTTCGTGATTTCATTGCACTTCTTATTCACCCCCTTACAACTAAACTTATCGCTACTCCCAAAACAGTAATAGGTTTTACTGCATAAGCCAACGATCCCTTGTCCCTCCCATTCTACTTTAAATAAGCCCGGTGTTCTCTTATCATAGGCGCGATGTTCTGCYGTATCCGTTCTCGGAAACCAGTTACACTTATCTTCTTCAAACTCTTCTCGCATTTCHTCTTTAACTAAACTCTCAATGCTTCTWCCAGAMAGMGCTATGTAAGCACTGTCAGTATCCATCTCACAGTATTGAAAATCAGAGCGATCTACATATTTATCAATGAAATCATAATAAAACTGAAGCATTCTTAATTTAGCATATTGATAAACAAAAAATCCTATTTGTATTGGTAAATTTAAGTTAATTTTTTTCTTTGAAGACTGGACTTCGTAAGTGTTCTCGTCAATTTCGTCAATCTGACGGAAGAACGGAGTGTTTACTAATCTAGAAGCCTTGGCATCAGAGCAAAACTTGACATCTCGGTGACGTTCCTGGTCCGTGATGGTTTTTCCATAGCTTGAGTTTCCMACCTAGAAAATGRAWGGATTGAAAATAAGGAACTGCAAAAAGGTAAATCTTGGTTGATTTGAGAATAACTTACCAATTTCATRGTATCAGCGATGATGGCTTTGTTTGGATCAGCATCCCCAGCTCTTCGTGCATCTGAAACCGCCTCCCCAAATGGCTTGAAACAGGCCTTGGGCGTATACTCTACCACCTGATAGATACGGGTAACCACAAGACCGTGCTCCAAGTACCATTTDAGGAGAGGCGTGGCAAGGAGGATTTTCTTTCCAAAGTAACTCCCAATTAAACTTCGGCGTGGGCGTGGCATGATGTCTTCTTCTTCTGCAAATTCTTTCATAAACTCCCCAATATCATCACGGCTAATCTCGGTATTCTTAAATATGGGACACATTTCACTGAAGTGGGGCTTGAGATCATCGGGAACTTGAATGTCCACCTCTACAACACCAAAGAGAGAGCCATCTTTCACAGCGTTTACAATCTCGTTTGTGGTAAGGGTCCGCCTATGATCCAGAGGTCGATTAAATTTGTTTTCAAGGAATCTTTGAATTTCAGGGTCTGTTCTTTTCATTCTGCGCCACTCGCATTCTTTCATCTCGACGAGATTGAAGCCTTCGTTTCTGATGTATTCGCTGTTAGCTTCGGTTTCCTCTCTCAGCTCACTCATTGGTTTCTTTCTAACTTCATT